TGCCCGCGCGAAGGGGACCGGCTTCTTGACTTGCTTTTTCCCCTGCTCGGGGACTTGTTCTTCTTTCTTTTTTGCCCGCCATTGCTTGTTCCATCATTCTCTCTCTTCCTCTTTTCCAGTAGTGGATTGTCAATCTTTTGGTTGATCTCCTCCTCGAAACCAATGAACTGATTTGACAACTTGAAGAACTCGTTGATATATTTTGGTTTGTTAGCTACCACGTGCCACTTGAACTCTTTATGGGTGATTCCTTTCTTTGTCGCAATGAATCACACTGTTGGATCCAGGTCCGGTATCTGCAGGTAGGTATCGTTGAAACGCTTTATGTAGCTTTTGATTTATTCACCTTCCCTCTAAACCACATTTAGAAGGCTTTCTATGACTTCAGGTACTTCTTGCTGGTAATAAAATGCGTAGTAAACAGGTCAGAAAATTGGAACCAACTATTGATGGAGCCCGGCGCGAGGTTCTGATACCAAGTTCGGACTACTCCCCTAAATGTAGTAGAGAAGGCCACACACATGCAAGATTCGTCAACCCCGGCTAGGTGCATCTAAGACTGGAATGAATCCACATGATCATTGGGGTCAAATGACCCGTTATACTTATCTAACGGAGGCACCTTGAAGTCTTTCGGCATCGGAGTTGCTAGGAGCTCGAGAGACAGAGGAAATGACCAGCAAAGCAATGGAGGCACAGTCTTCGTCACCACCGAGCTCACTTCTTCCTTTTCTTTAGCTTTCTCTGCTTGCTGGCTTGGCTTTGCTAGCGAATTGTTTTTGGCCATGGAGCAACGTGTCTTGCGACGTCACCATTGCTGCTTCTTCACTAGCTCGGCGTTGGTGCTGCTGATTTCAATCTAATCTGGTATCTCAGCATCACTACGAACATTATCGCGAGGTGGATCCTGGTTCCTTCTTGTTGGGTTCTCTTGGTTGTGGAGTTCGCACCGGCTATCACGAGGGACAGAGGGGTCCTGCCTCAAGTTTGCACCTCGAACTCTGGGATGGTTGTTATCTCCTCGTGAGCCATTATTTTCCTATTGGGAGTGCCGAGTTGGATTGGCCCGGTTGAGCGGACTATTTCTGGGCCTGTTTCTAAAATTTCCTTGTGAGACTAGAGGAGTGTGCTGACTGTCTCTCCTCCCATGGGGTGAAACTTGACCCCTGGGAGGAACTGGCACCTACAAGGTCCCCTCACCCCGATGGGGGATCAGTTGACATTCTGGCTAGTTCTAGGGTGACTCAGGTTCTGGCCCTGATGCAATCCTGAGTGCCAGGGTGGAATTGGCTGCTGGTTCGGCTGTAGTGGTGGGAACTACTGGTACAGATTGTACTACTAATACTATTGGTATTGTTGGACCTACTGCATCTGGATCTGTATTGTCCGGATGCACTAAATGAGGTCATGGAATTGAGAGTTCCTGTTTCCAGGAGAGACTATAGATGGCTCGGAGAAAGTTATGCCCATTGGGGGAAGCAAGACGCTCACTTGCATAGTGCCCTACGATATAGACAGTGACGAGACCCCTAAAGTTGTAAGGGGAATAGTAAACTGGCCGATACATACCGTGGGACCTTGAGGGAAGGTTGATTGCTGATCTTGCTCCCCGGTGATGTTCATCTCGATGCTTTTCCCGGTGTTGTTGGAAGAATCCATTGGGATAAATCGAAAGCTAAAACTACAACTGAAATTGGGATGACCTAGCTAGAAGATGATCTGAACTCTAGTTGCGTGATGAGTTGGACCAACCTGCAAAATAATAGATTAGAGAACCCGGGGAGCCTAATCCGTCGAGGTCGCTTCGATGCTTAAGTCGGTTCTCTATTGTGTATGTGAGCTGAATACTTGAATGCTTGAGTGCTAGTGAGTAAATAATCACGCGTACCTCCGCCTGGGGGTTTGATGTCCTTGTATAGTGTAGTCGTGGACCTTACGAAGGAGCTCTAGGGTTTTCAAGCTGTGCAGATAAGATCTATTCTGATTTTGAAGGAGAGCAATGTGTTTGTTGATAAGGTTTATCATTTTCCTCCGATTCAGGCAGAGCTAGGATGAGTCTCGTCGTGATCCCGAGAAGTTTGGGGTCTGTTGGGGAGGCCTTTAGAGTTGATTACGTGGCATTTTGACTCTTTAGCTCTGAACTGGTACTTTGGTTCTTTAGTCCCAAACTGGATTGGGTGTCGAGGTGTCTCTACACCGATGTGGTTTTTGGGCCGAGGTGACCAAATACCCGAGCTCTGATTGTTGCGGATTGGGTTCCTTTGGCTGAGTTGTCACCTCTCGAGAAAATCGCGTCTACGTGACCCCTTCTTACTAGGTCATGCCAAATCACACTTCATCACTTATCTTTTGGGGCGAAGCGGCTTTTCCCAGCGTCGCATCGGGTGAGTCTGCAATATCTCCTTTAGGACCACTTGGTAGAGCTGGTGTTGGCAGGCCCAACCAAGGAGGCTGCTTGCCTGGTTTCTTCACTCGAGACATAGGTAGAGTCTCGAGCTTCTGAGGTGCAAATCCTCTTTAGGGTGGTGGTCCCATGTGCTTGGGTGTTGGTAGTGTTTGGGGCGTGCTAGCAGAGGGGCTCCTACACTTGATTCCATTTCTTGTTTTGGTTCGGGTCGTCGGGCTGTTGGTTTAGAACTACGATGGGTGCAGGGACCTAACCAACAACCTACTATTGAAGCTATTATGATGGTTGCAACATCTATTGGGTACTACTACTGCATCCAAGCCATTGTAGTGAGACAAACTTCCTAGCTTTTTATTTGCATGTTGATGCCATGGATGTAATGCACCAGTTCCTGAAACTATTGGTTGTTTACCCCAATGGGAACCATAGATGGCTTGACCTACGGATGAGGCACAGTTGAAGTGGGAAAGGGAGGCTTTGTCTTGGAAACACTGGGATGGTTGGTAGTGTCAAGGAGATGGAGATCTGCCCTATCTCGATGTTTTGTGTTGTCACATTGTGGACAAACTAGTTTTTCCCCCAGTCGAGGTGCCTTCAACTTGGGTGTTGTCGGCGTTGTTGTTGTTGTTGTTACTAGATGAAGCCATTGCTAAATTACTCTGGGAGTTGGAGAGAACTTAGCTTTTCCGTAGCCATTCCCATAGACGGTGCCAATTGATGGTGCATGATTCGGTGCTCCCTACTGGAGGACAACTTAAACGTTGGGCTGACGAGGTCGGCTAGCCAAGCTACAAGAAGACAATGGTCAAAGTATCTGGGTGGGCACTCCGATGCTTAAGTTAGTGAAGAGCTTTGAGAAAGCTAGAAAGTGAGAGAGGAAGAGAGTCCTAGAGCTAAATCACGCGTACCTTTGGTTGAAGTGGGTGCCTTTATATAGGCATCAGTAGTTGTGTGCTTCACATAGCATGTTCGAGATCTTCGAGAAATCTGGCTTATCGGTCTACCACACTTGGAGACGGTTTTCATGTAAAGTGATAGAGTTTATCAAGTTACCTCCGAAGTGGGTGACGTGATCGGCAAGGCAGTGTGATCCCTGAGGATTCAGAGACAATAAGTCACACGTAGTGGAGGTCAGTCATCATGTCATGCAGGTCGCCAGTTGGGCTTTAGTTAGGTCAATGGGACCTCGGTGGGAGGTCACCCCTTGTGTTGAGGTCTTTGGCTCTGACCTAAGGTCATTAGCTTGATCCTGCCAAGATGGTGAAGAAATACTCTCAAGGTGAGCGAGGTGTATCCGACGTGGCTCCTGGATGGACTCTGTCATCTTGGTTATAGCATATTGTTGCCTACGTGGCACCAGGGTGTTATGCAACGGTTTAGAAGTGCCACATGTCGAGATATCACTAAAGGGGATGGAGATCTGCCCTGTCTAGACGTTTTGTGTTGTCACATTGTGGACAGACTAGTTTTGCCTCCAATTGAGGTGCCTTCAAATTGAGTGTTGTCGGTGTTGTTGTTACTAGATGAAGCCATTACTAAATTAGTTTGGGAGTTGGAGAGAACTTAGCTTTTTCGAACATGTTCCCATAGACGATGCAAATCACATGTACCTTCTTTGGTTGAAGGGATAGGCATCAGTAGTTGTGAGCTTCACATAGCATGTTCGAGATCTTTGGAAGAACGTGGCTTATTGGTCTACCACACTTGGAGACGGCGACGTTACCTCCGAAGTGGGTGACGTGATCAGCAAGGCGACGTGATCCCTGAGGATTCAGAGACAATAAGTCACACGTAGTGGAGGTCGGTCATCACGTCATGCAAGTCACCAGCTGGGCTTCAGTCAAGTCAATGGGACCTCGGCGGGAGGTCACCCCTTGTGTTGAGGTCTTTGGCTCGGCCCTAAGGTCACTGGCTTGGTCCTGCCAAGGTGCCTACATGTTGGCCCTGCCAAGATGGTGAAGAAACACTCTCAATGTGAGCAAGGTGTGTCCGACGTGGCTCCGAGATGGACTGTCATCTTAGTTAAGGCATATTGTTGCCTACGTGGCACCAGGGTGTTATGCAATGGTTTAGAAGTGCCACATGTCGAGATATCACTAAAGGGCCGAATCCCCTATCATCAATTATATTTTTATAATTACTGGATTTGTTGTATTTTTATTATATTTATTATAATATTTGTTATAAATTTATTTTCAATAATTATATAATTTTTTATAAAATTTTAATAATTATTAAAAATTAAACTATTGTGATGCATTAAAGATTAGAGTGCATTATACGGGTCTAAAAAGGGTTTTAATAAGACAGAAAAGCTTTACTGCATTGGCTCTTCGATTAGATTGGACTAAGGCCGTTGATAGAACTATTTATACCGAATTTATTTATATTAGTCCTTTTGCCCTTTATTATTTCCATTCAAACTTGAAAGATTTTAATCAGGTCCGACAAATTGATATATACTGAAGAAGTAATTAGCCCCAGATTTCCATACATGAAGAACCAAATTACAAAGTTTCCCTACATTTTCCTTTCTTTCCCTACCTTTCCCTTCAAGCCAAACATAGCCTTAGTGACAGTGTGGGAGCCTTGTTTACTGGTTCAGAAAAGAAGCCACTCCCTTTAACATGGCCACGGCCTTCTCGCTGTCAGGCGTGAACAGATGGAAATCATGGTCCTCCCCTTCTTCTTCTATGAGCTCTGCCACTCCTCCCCATCCACTCTTCCTCAGCGTTTCGTAATAAAACAGACCACCCGGTTCTCTTAGATAATCTTTCTCTGACACCCAAACACCGACGCGGTTGCATGCCAGACTCGACACTCTTGGATCTGCTGCTGGGTTTATCCGTGGGTCGTTGCATCCAATCGTTGACGGACACAAGTAAAGCCACAGCTTGCCTACCTTGGCCATCTTCTCCTCGTCGCTTGCCTCAGGACCAAGCGGCTCCTTCCCCTCGAAGTATGGATGGATCAGCGCTAACCCCGAGATCTTCTTGACACCATCGACCCCGAACTCGCCGCCTATCCTTACAGCGACAGAGTGTGCAAGATTGGCACCTGCACTGTCCCCTGCCAAGAACACTCGATCCAAGTCCCCGTGGTCGTTTAACCAGGCCTCAGGGCCGTCCCCTTTGGAATGGGAGGCAACCCATTTGAAGGCTGTAAAACAGTCATCGTAGGCTGTAGGAAGAGGGTGTTCAGGGGCTAGTCGGTACTCCACAGACACGGCGACGACGTCGGCCTCGGCGACTAGCGAACTGACATAACGATGGTAGATGGTAGAGAAGGCGTGGAAGTAAACGAGGACGGGAAGTTTCCGATGTGGGTGATCGGTGATTTTTATGTTTGGGAGGAAAATCCGTGCAGAGACGCCTTTCGGTGTGATAACGACGTCTTTGGACGAAACACCAGAGTGAGAATCGAGGGATGGGGGAACAAAATCAGGGATTACACACTTCTCTACGCGCCCGTCTTTGTATATTCTAATGTATGGGAAGAAATCATGGGCTACTTCAATCTTGCTTGAATCCATGGATAAACAGTTGAACCAGAGCCGCGGGGGAATGGGGGAAGGTGGAGAGAGAATCAGACTAGCTGTCAAAGGAATATGAATAAAAGATAATATTTTTGGTATTTGATTGGGTTTTTAGCAGATAAGGGCAACTTTTTGTCCAAATAAAAGATAACATTTTTATAAAATAACATTTTTGAAAAATATCAAGCAAGTTCAATGACATTTCATTGTCTTCCTGTAAACAGGGCACAGGCGGCATTGCGGTTGCTGTTCCAGTCTTGAGAGCTCTCACCAGGGGCTTAATTGCTCCCGAGGAGGCCGCCAGAGCTGTAGAGCTGTTCCCCTCAAGCCTCCGTAACAGGCGGCCTTATTTTGAGAGCTCTGGCGGCCTCTGTAACAGGCAAGACGATGAGCAAGTGGTTACTGTTCCGGTCTTGACAGGAAGGGTTTAATTGTTCCCGAGGAGGCCACCAGAGCTGTTTCGCCAGGCCTGTTACAGAGGCCGCCAGAGTAGGGCACAGGTGGTGTTCTCCCGGCAATGTCTTTTATATGCTCAGCTTCCGATGCTCGGCGGCTTCTGTAACAGCTGCTGCCTCGCCCCATCTGGAATGACGACAGAACATTCAGGGCATCCTGGTTTGTATTGCAGTTACACTGGCTTGTATCGCACTAGATTCGCCGTCACTTCCTGACTTGTCACCGGTTTATCACGCACTAGCTCCACACCTGGCAGCATGTATTGTCCAACCACAAAGAAATTACTGCTATTAAGTCAGGCACAAACAAAAAACTTAAGGCTCTGTTTGGAAAGAATATAAATACAAATATGTACAGCTTAAATACATACAAAAAACACAAAATATAAGGTTTTGCACCCCAAGACGTGAAGAAGCTAAACAAGCAACTTTGAAGCAACCCCGGCTGTCACGAATTAAAGCCCCGTAACTAGTTTTAACCAAAGACAAAAAACCTCTATCAGCATTAACTTTAATCCCACCAAATCGGGGAGGGGTTCAAAAAGAAACCCTGTTGGACTGGAGTTAGAGAGTTGAGTTGGCTGATTGGAGTTTTGAGGCAAAGCCTCCACTGCATCTTTTTCATCATCCTGTTCAACATAATAATGCCATCAGCCAGAGAAATATCAGGGGATGTCTGATTGAAAACAAATTTATTCCTGGACTTTCAGATTATCTACACAGTTAGAAGGTGTAATTGGTCCTTAGGGAGATGACTTCTTTATTCCCAGAACTAGCAGAAAGCCATGCAGTGAAAGGAATGGGGCGATTGTGGAATCTGAGGGATGGATTTAAAAGGGATAAGGAGCCAGATTTGTTTTTCATGGTCACATAAACAAAGGACATGGAGTGCTAATTCTTCCTCTTTTTGACAAATCTTACAAATGGTTGAGCTCACCAAACCTCTTTTGAATCTGTTTACGTTTACAGCAATGGCTTCATTAAGACATTTCCAAATAAAAGTTCTAACTTTCGGGTCCATAGGAGCATACCAGACCTTGCTCCAAACTGATTTGATGGGAATTGAAGCATTATTACTGTTAGAATTAGTTCCCTGAATGGATTTAGAGATAAAATAAGCAGATCGATCTTATCGAGAAAACACCTTTGGAACCAGGTAGCCAGAAGAGCCTATTTGGCCGGGGGTTTTCAGCAATAAATGTGGCTCACCACTGTCTCAGGAAAGAGTGATCTCAACAGATTTACTCCAGCATCTATTCTCACGATCAATGAGATCTGATACCATTTGCGGTGAGGGCTGAGAGGGTCTAGGACCGACTAGTCTTCCTCCTAGTGTGGGGAACCAAAGGTCATCCCAAATAGAGATGGAATGTCCTACATTAACATCCCAACAGTAGGCTTTTTGGATAACCTCCCTCCCCACTAGGATACTTCTCCAGCCCCATGAGTCAGAATATCTAGGGGGCATTCTTTTTTTGGATTTTGAGAGAGGGAAAAGTTGGTTAATGGGATTTTGGTTCCCATTGACCAAGAATTTCATGTTCTTTTTTCAGGTTTATGTGGGGACGAGTGAAAGTTAATTTTCTTGTGTATTAGGTAAGTGATACCTATCTCCTAGGAGGGTAAATAACTTTTCCACCCGGGAAGAAAGTTACCAAAACTTGAATGGGACAAAAATGCCCTTTTAATAATGGATTTTTATGATTAAAATGACCATTGCCTTATTTACATGAGAAATAAAAGAACATGGGTAAATGCACTTACCCGGGTAAGTGTTTCCCAGGAAAGACTTACCCAAGTAACTATATTTACCCAGGTAAATAACTTACCAAAAAATAAACGAGGCCCTAAAGTCATCTTTTAAGTTCTTATTTTTTATGTACTTGGCTCTAATTACCTTAGCCCATAGAGAGTCTTCACCAAATGTCACTTTCCAGGCAAGCTTTTCCAGGAGGGCAAGGTTATGAGTGTGAGGGTCCGTGAAACCCAATCCTCCATCTAGTCTGTTCTTGCAAACTTGCTTCCAATTAAGCCAATGCATTTTGTTATGTTTGTTTTGAGTCCTTCGGTCCTTCCCCACCAGAAAAGCTTGTAGAGCTTTGCAATACCTTTAGGGGCTAGGAAGCATGACATGACATAGGAAGGGATAGTAGATATAACTGACTTTAGAAGGACTTCCTACCTGGTCGAGGAAAGGAAAACATTCAGCCAGGAGATGGATTTTGATTGTATTCTATCCACTAGATTAGAGAAGAATTTTTTTCTTTGACCTTCCAAATTCAGTTGGGAGGCCCAAGTAATTGGAGGGCCTAGAGACTAGTTTGAAGTGAAGGCCATTTGCAATCACCTTCTTAAGCTTTGGGTGAATTTTCTTGCTAAAATAAATCTCAGATTTTGTAAAATTCACATGTTGACCTGAAGCTTCCCCAGAAGCCTTAATTGTTTCCACTAATACTTCTCTCTCATGGAGAGATGCTTTAGTAAACAAGTAGTTGTCATTTGAAAAGAACAAATGGGAAATGGTAAAACACTAGAGAGAAAGAGAAATATCTGAGAACAAGCCACTATTAATAAGAGTATGAAGCTTCTTTGAAAGCATTTCAGAACAAAGCAAGAAGAGGTAAGTGGAGAGGGGGTCCCCCTATCAGAGGCCTCTGAGGGAGTGAACTGCACACTTGTTGGAGTCTTCTGCTACATTTGGTTCGGTTAAAAATTTGTGCTTAAATTTTGAAGCATTGAAGAATGGTTTGGACGAGTTCAATGGGTTAGGCATGAAATTGCCACCCCTAGGTCCTGCTACCTGTTTATTAATTTTTTGGATTATTGTTAACGACTCTTGGATATTCAAGACTATATATAGTTTTTACATTTTTAATTAATTTAGTATTAACATTTCCAAACAAAAACAAAAACTAAGAGTAATCACTGGCGTCCTCTTCCTATCAACTTATTGCTTGAGTATAATTCAATCAAAAGGAAATTTGCAATAAATGAAGTAGATACCAGAGAAACTAATTGCGTCACTGGTCAAGGACTTCAGTGTCAAAAACATTCATGAGAGAGAGAGAGTTTCAGTCTTACGAGGAAAGATCTCCATTAAGCTTAAGTAGTAGTAAACTGCAACCTCAGCTACAGAGAGCGCTAGCAATGGGGTTTCTTGATACATATCAGCTGATATGTATTGGTTTTCAAGGTCATTGATATGCTAAATATAGTGATTTTAGGACGAGAGGCCTTATTTAAAAGAAAAATACCAATCCCCATAAATTGCCTGGTTGAAAGCTTAAAGCCTAAAACAAGTTATATGGATATTTTTAATACATAATGTTTGCATATCATGTTTTTATATGGATACTTTAAGTTTGAACCTTCATGAACTCATTCGTAACATATATGTCGGGTTCATCAACTCAATGATAGTGTATCGGTGGGTGAATCATCTATGGTCTAACGTGCATGGCCTTGTGAATGATTAGAGTGATTGATATTGAAGCACATTTATTGAACAACCCACTTGTAAATTTTGAGCTCAATCTTCTTTATTTTTGGCTTCATGGGACTATACAATGAGAGTAGCCCAGCCTAGAGATGGCAATTTTCCCCATCTCCGATGGGGACCTGACTTCGCTGACCCGATGGGGTTGGGGATGGGGATTGTTTTGGCATGATGGAAACGGGGACGGAGATTAATAGGAATCCCTGGTCGGGGTCGGGGTCGGGGATGGGGATTGAGGTCATTGCCTCGCTCCGACCCCATATATATTTATATTAAGTAAATTTATTTTTCAAAAAAAAAATGTTACCTGAAAACATTTCGGGGATTTGGGTCCCCGCGAGGAACCCATCCCCGTTGGGGATCGGGGATGGAGGACAAATTTTATCCCTGGCGGAGATCAAGGCCAAGGATGGGGGTTAATTTCAGAATCAGGGTCAGGGACAAGGAATATGACCAACGCACCGAACCTGCCATTTTGCCATTCCTAGCCCAGCCCCCCTACACATTACCCCTTAAACCCTATTCGCATTTTGGTAAGTTATTTACCCATGTTCTTTTATTTCCCATGCAAACAAGACAATGACCATTTTAGCCATAAAAATTCATTATTACAAGGGGCATTTTTGCCCCATTCAAGTGTTGGCAACTTCCCCCCCGAGGTGGGAAAGTTATTTACCCACCTAGGTGAAGTGATACACAGAAAAATAAACTTTGACTGGTCCCCACATAAAGATGAAAAAAGAGCATGGGATTTTTGGTCAACGGGAATCAAAATCCCATTGACCAACTTCCCCCCCTCTCAAAATCCAGAAAAAGCACACCCCCTTAGTGAAAATTAGATTTGATCCCAAGAGCCAGATGGAAACGGTGAAAGTGATTCTTGCCTAAAACTAGAAATTGTCAGTTTGGCTTGCAGGAATAAGGGTTTAGAATTGAAATTGGGATCCAATTATCATTCTTAGTGGAATAACATTCCTCCATTTGAGGGATCCATTCCCTCCTTTGGGAATGGAAATCCTATCAGCTGATATTGATTCTGACTCTTG